ATATAATGATATATATATATATTTCTCAAAAGGAAATGCACCAATAGCCAACAGGGATAAAATGTCCAGTTGCAGTAGTCATCAAGGAAATACAAGCGAAAATCACAGGGAGATGTAATCCCACTCCACTAAGAATGGCTATTATCAAAAACCAGATAGGAGCCTGCAAGATGGTTCAGCAGGTGAAAACACTTACCATACAGGCCTGGCAACCAGAGTTTGATCCCCAGAACCTACATAAACATGGAATGAGAGAACTGACTCCCCAAAGTTGTCCTCTGTTCTCCACATACACACAGTGGCATGCAACACCCCCCAATAATAATTAATAAAATAAATCTTTAAAAAATAACAAATGTCTTCAAGAATGTGGTGAAAAGGCAACTCTTGACACTGTTAGTAGAGAGGTTGGTAAAGATGTAAGTTAATGCAACCATTGTTGAAAACAATATAGAGGCTGGGTGTGGTTATGTGTGCCTGTCATCCTGGTACTCAGTAGTATTGAGGTTGTATTGGTTACTTTTTTCATTGCTCTGACAAAAGCAACTTAAGGGAGGAAGGGTTCATTTGGGGTTAGTTTGAGGTTTCAGTTCATCGTGATGGGGAAAGCATGGCAGCAGGAGCGTGTTCACGGTGAGGAAGCAGAAAGACATGAATACTAGTGTTTAACTTGAATTTTCCTTTTTATTCAGTCTAGGACTACTACCCAGGGTTGGGCCTTCCTACCTCAGTCTAGAAACTTCCTCACAGAGATGCCCAGAGATTTGTTTCTATGGTGATTCTAATTCTCATCAAATTGATAATAAAGATTAAATATCACAATTCTACCCTTTGTCAACTTGGCACCTAAACATCATTTTTAATCCAAATCTTCTACTCTGTGTCCCCACAGACTCAGTCATCTCATAATGCAAAATATATTTTGTACAACCTCAAAAATCCCAGTCTTTTACAGTTCCAACACTGTTCAAAAGTGTAAGTTCAGAGTCTTTTCTGAGACAAAGGCAAATCTCTTATGAGTGTCTATAAAATTAAAATATATACTTCCAAATACACAATAACAAAGAATAAACATGTTCATTTCAAAATGGAGCATAATAAGAATAGGATAAAATCAAGATGGAAACTCAGCAGGGCAAACACCAAATCCAGCCACTCCATGTCCAGCATATGGAGCTCATGATAGAGTCATCTGGGCTCCAAAAGGCTTGGGTAGCCCTTCCTTCCAGCTCAGCCACCTGCAACACACATGGTCTCTCTCTTGGTCAAGCACCACCCTGTATATGCAGCTTTCCCCAGCAGACCTTCCATCATCCTGGCATCTCCAACATTCTGGAGTCTCCATTGCAACTTGGGCTTATTCATCACAGTTTCACACAGTGGCCTCTCAGAGCCTCCTTCAAGGACTCTGGCCTCAGCAACTCTCTGGAACCATGGCCCAAAACTCAGTACCCCCTCAATTTCACATCTTTCTGTCCACAACACTAGTACCACATGAACAATGCTGCTAAGTTCTGCTGCCAGCTTGGGATGATGCCTGGCCTCATTGGAGCACAGCTGCATCCATCTGTGAACGTTTTCCAGTGACCCCAGGAAAACATTTCCTTAGATAGTTGCTTTTGAGCGGTGAACCTCTCCCTGCATTTTCAGTTTAGGCTCTCTCTTTTTTTTTTAATGAATTTGCATTTCACAAGATGGGGGGCCTTTGATGAGTGGGGTCTTGCCCTTGGGTACCTTTCTATTGTCCCAGTCTCTCTCTCTCTCTCTCTCTCTCTCTCTCTGTCTCTCTCTCTCTCTCTTGCTCTCTCTCTCTCTGCAAGTGTATGCAGAGGCCATGAAACTATGAGCCAAAATAAGATTTTCCTGCCTCTGCCTCTGCCTCCTGAGTGCTGATATTAAAAGCATGCATCACCATGCCCAGCTTACTCTTTCTCCCTTAAAAAAAAAAGAAAGAAAAGGAAAAGCAAGCAAGTAGATTACTGGTTAGTGGTTGCCAGGAGTTAGGGGAAAAAGGGAGTAGGGATAGATTACTTAATGGGTATAGAGTTTTCTTTCACAGTGATGAAAACTGATCTGGAATTAGATAATGGTGATGGTTGTGCAATACCATGAATGCCCTGTTACTAATGGCAAATCTTATGTGTATTTTATCATACACCCAAAGCTAGGCAGAGGAACTCATTGACTTAATACTGTAAATAACAGGCAATGTAGATTCTTCATCTGGGGACTCAGGGTGGAATGGTATTTTAGGAAAATTCCTGCCAAGATAATGCTAACAGCTTTACTTCTCAGAGTATTTCCTAACAGCAAACTGGAAGGTGATAAACTACTTCAAAGCATTAGCAAGTATTTATTAAATGCCTATTGTATTAGATACTGGAGAAAAGTACTATAAAGTAAGACCAAGAAAACTTGCTTCATAGGTGAACTAACTTTATAGTCTAAAATACCTATGACCAGGGCTGGTAAGATGGCTCAGAAGGTAAAAGCACTTGCCTTGCAAGCCTCATGACCTGAGTTCAGTTCTCGGAACCCCTATAAAAATCTCTGTATGTTGGGCTAGCAAGATGCAGTGGGTGCTTCCTGCGAAGCCTGACAACTTGAGTTCAATCCCTGGGACCCACATGGTAGGAGAAAATTGGTTTCATTAAGTCCTCTGACTGCCACATGCACACCATGGTATGTGCATGCCCATACACATTCACACATGTACAAACAAGATAAATGTAAACAAAATTTTTTAATCCAGATTTGGTGGCATCACATCTGTTATCCCAGCCCTCCTACAACAAGATAGGGAGTAGAGGTGGGAGAATCACCTGCAAACTCTGGGTCCAGCTAGCTTGGACTATGAAGCACAGAGGAAACAAGAGAGATCCTGTTTCAACAAGGCAGAAAAAAGAACTGACTCCTGAAAAGTTGTCTTCTAACCTCCACACACACACCATGACACCTTTGTGCCAGTACACGCCCCACCCCCTGAAACACACACACAAATACCTGTGAGCAATGACAGTTGAAATTCCAATGTTTAATTGCATTTTCATTTCCAAAAGGTGCTAACATACTCTAAAAAATACTCAGCACTGTATGATAAGAGGCTTATGTCTCTAGAAGACAAAATGTATTTTTAGGAGTTTACATCATGGAAAAATAGCTCCATTATTTAAAATTCTTTATTGTGAAAAATTTCAAATACATATTTTAGTCTACCACAGGAGGATTATTACATCAATAATAAGATAATAGTTCTCTAATAGTATCTGATATCTAGACTACATTATTTTCTCCAATTGTCTCAAAAATGTCTTTTTCTACTTGGCTTACTTAAATTTGGAATCAAATAAAATCTACACATTGCATTTTTGATTCTTAAGTCTCTTAAAATTGGTAATAGTCCTTTATCTTTTGGAATTTTGTTATATTATTTGTTGAAGACAGTGGATCATTAGTCCTAAAGACCAATTCTAAATTTAATCAGTTGTATTCTCATGGTTGAAACATGTTCCTCTATCTCCTAAAATTTTTTGCAAAATTAAGTTAGATTTAGAACCTTAGTAAAATTTATTATAATTTCTTTGGAATAATACACCTGTAAGTGAGTTATATGGTATTGGTTTATTTGTTTTTTTTTTTTTGTTGTTGTTGTTGTTGTTTTTTGAGACAGGGACTCCCAGGACCCCTGACTAGCCTGGAACTCACTACATAGAACAATCTCACAGAGATCCACCTCTCTCTACCTCCCAAGTGCTGAGATTTAGGAATGTACCACCATGCCCGGATCTAGCTATAAGTTTTTGATGAATCATAGGCTCTTTGGTTAACAAGCCAGAAGGACCAAACTCTTGAAGTCATTGTTCAGATAACTTTAAATTTGATAGTTGTGATGTTTAGTGTTAGTTGTCAACTTGACAGATCTGGAATTACAAAGGAGACAAGTGTCCAGGCCCACCTGTGAGCGATTGTTTAGATTTGGCTAACCTTTGGGCATGCCTATGAATGCTTATCTTGATTAGGGTAAAGTGGGGAGACCCACTCTGATAGTGGGCAGCACTGTCCCCTGGGATTAGGCCCTGGATTGAATGAAAAAGGAGAAAGCCCTCCACATACCAGCATTCACCACTCTGCTTCCTGACTGGATATAATGAGCTTGAGCCTGTGCCAACAGGAGTCCCCCATGATGATGGACTGTACCCTCAGACTGTGAACCAAAACAGGTCCTTTCTCCCTTAAGTTGCTTTTGTAGGGTATTTTATCAAAGCAACAGGAAAAGAAACTAATACAGTGGTTGCAGGTTAAAATGAACTAGCTGCAAAAATTATACATATCCAAAAAGGGTCCTGGCATGATTTTTAACTGGTTGATTTCTTTGCTCTGTTGTATGCTTTTCTTTTTTCAGATCTACAAGAGGATTGTTCTCCCCCACCTCCACTCCCAGAAAGAACGCTGGAGTCCTTCTTTCTTGCTGATGAGGACTGTAAGTCAGCAGGACTGTCCAAAAAATAAAATGTTAAAGAGTTAAAAATAAACTGATTGTGATAGCACACACCTATAATCTCAGCAGGAGATTATTTTAGGAGGTGGAAGCAAGAGGATCAGGAGTTCAAGGTCATCCTTAGCTACAAAGTGAGTTTGAGGACAGACTGGACTATGTGAGTCCCTGTCTCTGTAAAGCAAAAACAAGGCCAGGTGTGGTGGTGGAAGCCTTTAATCCCAACACTTGGGAGGCAGAGGCAGGCAGCTCACTGTGCATTCCAGGCCAGTCTGGACTACACTGTGAGACCCTGTCTCCAAACAAAAAAACAAACAAACAAACAAACAGACAAACAAACAAACCCAAAGTTAACAATAAAGTAAGACCTACATGGAAAGGTACAAAGAATGATTAAGTAAGATTAAAGTGTCCATAACATATTTGAAAATTTAAAGACGACAACATATAATGAAAATAATGCCTAATCAGGCCAAGAATTACTGAATCTACACCTATATTTAATCCATGTGAATAAGAAACTGTATAACAAAACACTTTTTCTTAAACACTTTCTCTCTCTCTCTTTCTCTCTCTATTTTTTGGTTAAGGTATGCAGGCCCAACCCATAGAAACTTATTCCACTAGCTGTCCAGAAACCACGGAAAGCTCAACATCTTCTAAACAAACATTGAAGACTCCTGGAAAAAGTTTCGCAAGGAGTAAGGTAAAGGAAACTGGAAATTAAGAAAACATTCCACATTTTCCTTACAAGTTTTCCCTCCACAGCATTAAGACTGAAATTAGATTAAGCATCTTTACTAAACTGAGTTTTTATCTCACACAATCAATGAATAGAAAGAAGCTAAAAGGAAGAAAACAAATACTACATTAAGAACTTACTTCTTATGGCTGATTTATAAATGTAAAAGAATTTAATAAAACTGCTAACTTGCTTATTCCTGGAAGTAGACAAACTGATTCCAAAGTTCATATTGGGAGGGACAATAATAGCCAGAAAACTGAAAGGAAGAAAAAAAAATGCGACAAGTGAGAGTGGCCTTAACAGATAAATGGGGTAAAGTTGTAGTAATCACAATGCTGTCTTAGTGTATGGAAATAAACGTGTACCAAGAGCCTAGAAGAGAATGAAGGAATGTACAGAAATAGGTACACATATATGCAGGAATTTAGTATTTGATGGTGCATCTCAAATAAAGGGTTAAAGATGTATGGTTTAATAATTGTTGGAGAGCTGAGGGTGTAGCTCAGTTAGAAGAGTGCTTGCCTAACATGCCTGAAGCTGTGGATTCAGTCCCTATTACCATATAAAACCAGGTGTGGTGATGCACATTTGTAATCTCCAAGTCCTAGCACTCAGGAGGTAGAGTCAGGAGAATCAGAAGTTCAAGGTTAACCTGGGATACATGAGACCCTGTCTCAAAGAAATCATTGTTGGACTAAATAGTTAACTATGTAGAAAACAATAGTATCTACAAATCACATCTACATCAGGATAAAGTCTAGATGACTAAAATATTTAAACACCAAACACAACACATACACATAAAAATACTAGACAACTTACAAGAGTGTTAAACTTGCAGAGATTTTGTAATTCTGGAGTATGACTGCCCTTACAAGTATGACTAACAGTCCAGAAGCAAAAAAATATATATTCCATTAAATAAAACAGAAAAGTTCTTAAAACTGAAAGACAAGGAACAAATTGGAGAGGAAAATATCTGCAACTGGTACCATAAATAGAAGGGTATTTGTTTACTATACAAGAATGTTTAGAAATTTGTAGGAAACAGTAACTCTAAAGTAAAAATGGGCAAAAAATACATGACTCACAAACAGAAGCAAACTTCAGAAGCCTCTGTGGGTTCTGGAATTTCTGGTAAAGGGAGAGAAGCAGGAGCCCCATCTTTCTGCCAGCACTTTGAAAGAATTATTTATAAATATGTACTATGATACTTATATTGTTGGTAAAAGCAAAGATAGAATCAAGTGGAGATTTGGTTGAATTAAGATACGAGATGAAACAATGTGCATTTTCATGGTTATTTTTAAGGAAAGTAATCCCTTTGAGTTTGTATTTCTATTTAATTGAAATATTTTGAGTTATATAGGAAAAATATTAACTTTTTCCCTTTCCTCACTTTTGTAGAGTTTGAGAATTTTCCAAAATATGAAAAAAAGTAAGTTTCTTTGTACTTACTTTTTAGGATGTATATATGTTTTACAATTACATAATTTTTCTTGGTATACTCACCCTCTGAAAAATTAACAATATCATTCCTAAACATAATTTCATAAGCATCCTATGGATCAGAACAGTCACCCCTAGACCTTGACTTTGCAGGGTTCCACAGTACTAACATTGGGTAGGGAGTAAGGGAACAAGAAGGTTTCTGTTTATAGATAGAACAATAATTAGTATGATGTTTGGCATTTTCTACTCATAATAAGATCCTTAGATATAAATGTATTGAAAACTCATAACAATCTAACCTTAGATATATTTTATTTGAAAACAGTCACAGCAAGGCATATTGTGAAATAATTGTGTTGATTTAATGAAATAAGCAGAACACTGACACATTTCCATTTTTATCAAGTATTACTAGCAGTAAGAGTCTGTTGCTTACTCTTTTGCTATATTGTAATGAAAATAAAAACCCACAGATTCTGGGGCTGGAGAGATGGCTCAGCGGTTAAGAGCAGTGACTGCTCTTGCAGAGGACCTGGGTTGGATTCCCAGCACCCACATGGTGGCTACGAACCATCCTTAACTCCAGTTCCAGGGGACTCTGAAGCCCTCTTCTGACCTCCACAGCATTGCATGACATGGGTGCACTCACATACATGCAGGCAGTACACTCATACACATTAAAAAAAAAAAAAACCCATGGGTTCTTTAAACTTTTGGAAATTCTCTTAGGCACGTTATTTACAAAGTAAATGATATGTCTCATAAAGTGATCTATTTGTTTAGTCATGAAGGACTGAATGGTTTATAATACTCTGGCAGTAGAGAAAGGACAATGAACACTGAGAAAACCTTTTTTGAAAACATATATACTTTGAGGCTAGAGAGATGGCTCAGCAGTTAAGAACACTGGTTGCTCTTACAGAAGACCTGGGTTTGAATCCCAGCACCCACATGATAAATGCTATTAAAGAAAACAAAAGAGCAGTTATGAATTTTTTTAATTAAGGTGAGGCTGGAAAGACGGCAGAGGAATAGTTACATTCTTATTGGTCATGCTAAGTAAAATTTATTCTAAGTGCAATGAGAAACCATAAAAAGGGTTCTAGGCAGAGATGTTACATGCCCTGTTTTATCCTGGCTGCTGTATAGGGAATGGATTATAGGTGACAGGAGTGGGAGTTGTAAACTCTGATGACCAATAACAACTTTTAGTGGGAAAATTTTAAAATAAATTTTACTATTATTACTGTATGTGTGCATGATGTAGGAGAGGCACTTGCCACGATGTGCATATGAAGATCAGAAGACAACTTTGTGGCGTTGATTCTCTCCTTCCACCTTTACACGGGTTCCAGGGCTCAAACTCTGGTTCTCAGCCTTACACAGCAAGTGCCTTTATCAGCTGAGCCATCTTGCTGGCCCTAGTGGGAAATGGCTCAGCAGTTAAGAGCACAAGCTGTTCTTGCAGAAGACCCAGGTTTGAATCCCAGCACCCACATGGCAGCTGACAACTGTCTGTAACTCCAGTTTCAGGGGCTCCAACAGCCTCTTCTGTCCTCCATGGCCATTGCACAACACAGGTGCACTTACCTACATGTAGGCAATACATGCATACACATAAAATAAAAAAAAATACTATAGTTGCAAGTGGCAGAAACCCCAATTTAGGCTGACTTGAGCAGAATGTATTGTCTTGTAACCAAGAGTTCAAATGATATAATCAGATCCAACCTCTCATTCCACATTGCTCAGTTTTGTTTCATTTGTGTGCGTGCGTGCGTGCGTGTGTGTGTGTGTGTGTGTGTGTGTGTGTGTGTGTGTGTTCAGAGGTTTATGTCAGGCATCTTTCTCAATTGCTTCACCACCCTATTTTTTTTGGAGCGGGGGGGGGTCTTTTTGAGACAGGGTCTCCCTATAGCCCCAGCTGGCCTGGAACTCACTATGTAGAGCAGGCTGGCCTTGAACTCACAGAGATCTGCCTGCCTCTGCCTCCCAAGTGCTGGGACTACAGGTGTGCACTACCATGCCAGGCTCACCACCTTATTTCTTGAAGCAGGATCTCTCATTCAACCTGGAGTTCACTGATTGGCTAGACTGGCTTGCCAGTAAGCCTCAAGGATCCTCGGGTCTTCCCTTCCCAGTGCTAGGATTACTACTGCCATGCTTTGTATGTGGGTATTGGGGAATCCTGATCTAGTCTTCATGCTTACATAGCAAGCACTTTACTGAATGAGCCATCTCTGTAGTCCCAGCTATGTTTTATAAGCTTACTCACGGGTAGATTTTGACCATGTATTTTCAGGCTTATGATGAAAATAGATTAGCTTTTTCCTGGATGCATCAGCAGTCTGATGACTAGTGCAAATTGGCCAAGTGTTGGTCTGGTTCATTTGCTCATGCCTGAACCAATTCTTAGCAATATATTCAATGCTCCAATCAGGCAGGATAATGTATCTTATTTTTAGCCATTGTTTCATATAGACACTAATTATTAATGAGATCAGGCCTATACATCTGATATGACTATGCCAATGTACCAAAAATGAAAATAAGCCCACATTATTAATCATTTCATTAACCTACAAGTAGAAATACTCCACTTGATGTGGGAAAACTTGGAGAGTATGGAAAGGAAATTTTAAGTTGTATTATGTGGAAAATACATGTTAGGCAAGCAGCATAAAAATAATGAGACAAGTCATCTGCAAAATATCAGTTCCCTATGAAATACATGTGTCAAATCTTTGCCTCCTTTAAAAAAAAAAAGCCCCCTTGGGACAATTGTTTTCTTTCTGAGAAATACAATTCACAGCTCACTTGTAGAGATTATTAACATCTACTACACTTCCTCTTGTTCATCCATTTTTGTATTCATGTCTATTCTCTGTGCCTAGCCTAGTGTTGGGCATGTAGTAGTTAGCAAGAATGTATTTAATTGGATATGATTGAAATCTACTATGTCCTCTAGTCATTCATACTCAATTTCCTGCCGAAGGGAGAGACATTTCTAACACCCTGATGTTACATGCACATGTGCAGTTCTTATAATAGTGCATTTTGAAACGTTGAGAACAAAAAAAGAGAATATTCAATAATTTCTCTTATGTTGTTTTTCATAAAGTTTATATAAACTTGAAAGTATCTTTATACATGTAAGACCATACACACGTAAAATGTGGCCCAAGTTTTATAGGATTCTTTTCAGAACTGGACAGAAACTGATATATGTATTAAGGTGTTAGGAAAGAAAATACATTTTTAGGTCTACAGATAAGTAACTAAAATAGAAAACTAAGCAGCAGACCTGCTTGGTTCTTCGAAAGTGAAGAAAGAAGTTTAGGACTAAAAGATAACATAAGAAAAATCATAGCTCACTGTGGATGAATGTAGAGATTTGGAGGTGTACTGTAACTGGTCAGAGGACAAAGATCAAATCCAAAGTCAAATGTGAGCCCCAAAGAGTAGTGGGTTCATGATATGTTATTACTTTGGCAGTTTTCTTTAGTGTTGGGTTTTGCTAGATAATCTGTTTGCAAACAAAAGAATCCTTGCTGGGCATGGGCATGACAGCTCAGACCTATCATTCTAGTATTTAGGAGGCTGAGACAGCAAGACTATCACAATTTCAAGACTAGCCTGGGCTACATAGTAAGTTCAGGCCTATAGAGTGAGACCTTTTTAAGAAAAGGAAAGAAAAACTATAATGCCAACTCATGTTTGAACATTTTTGTTTGTTTGTTTTTTGGTCTTTTTGAGACAGGGCTTCCCTCTAACGCCAGCTGGCCTGGAACTCACAATGTAGACCAGGCTGACCTTGAACTTACAGAGATCTGCCTGCCTCTGCCTCCCAAGTGCTGGGATTAAAGGTGTGCTCCACCATGCTCAGCTTGTTTGAACCTCTTTAACATGGGACACTGACATATTTATTCAGAGTATTAATTATTCTGGGGGATATATTTAATTTTGGTAATTATGTAATCAAATAGTAATCTAAATCTGTCTTTACTGTTTCTTACCTATTTTTCCTCTGATTATAGATATCTGTAATTCTTCCTCACCAAGCAAGCCTGCAGAATGTGTTCAGTCAAAAAATTCTAGCTCCTTTCTGAATTTTGGTATGTGAATGATTCTATAGCCATTAAAAATGTATGTATAAATTACTTATAGTGTAACAGATACAATTTTAAGTATGTTTTACAGTAGCACATATAGGTTCTTACATTTATATTTATATTGTTTTCCATGTTTATCTTTTTACCCCTTTAACTTCAGATAACTTTTTTTTTGGTCTTTTTGAGACAGGGTCTCCTGGAACTTCTTACTATGTAGACTAGGCTGGCCTGGATCTCTCAAGAGCTCTGCCTGCCTCTGCCTCCTGAGTGCTGGGATTAAAGGTGTACACACCATGTCCAGCTCCTTAGCTAACTTTTAACATTTCAGATAGGATTGAGTTGTTTAATGCATGTGGAAAATAAAGTGAGGAAACCAAATTATTAAGGTAGCATGTAGCAAATAAATATGACTAGCCAAATGAAAAAATTTAAATACTGTTATATGTTCACATATAAAGCAAAAGTATTAAAACTATGTGATAGGGCTGGAGAGATGGCTCAGTGATTAAGAGTACTGACTGCTCTTGCAGAGGACCTGGGTTTGATTCTAGGCACCCACATCGTGGCTGTGAACCATCCTTAACTCCAGTCCCAGGGGACTGACCTCCATGACAATGCACGACTTCTGACCTCCATGGCATTGCACGACACAGGTGCACTCACATACATGCAGGCAATACACTCATACACATAAAATAATAAAAATAATAAATAAAATAAAAACCAAAAATATGTGATTAAAAACATCAGCAATTATTTTTGTTTCCTAATCATATATAACTCATTCAGCTGTAGGAGATGAAGCACAATTCTGAGTTTAAAGAAACTGCTTTTCCATTTGACCCTACACATAAGCTGTTACTTAAAATGCCTTTATTTTACTTTTAGAATTCTGTTTTTCCATAGGACATATTTTTATGATAGTAAAGTAATATGTATACAATAATTTTGCAAGAAATATAGCAATTAATATGGGATATTATTTAAAAAATTACTATTAATGAAAAAGCAGACACTTGAAAGGTTCTGGGAGATTCCAAGAGTCTCTTGATAACATTTTGAGACTGCTCAAGGGCATCATCCTTACCTAGATAGTCAAAGTTTGGCTGCCATAGCATTCCTATTACAGGTGGTGGGCAGAGGGAGGCTTGGAGGAGGCATTAGCCTGGAAGTGGCAGCATCATGTCAGCTCACACTCCCTTCAAGAATGTTTTGATATTAATGAAATTAACTTAGATACAACTAAATTGTAGGAGAGATTGGAAAATGTAACACTGGTAGACAGACATATGTAAAATTGCCCAAATGTAATTTTATTTCAGAGGAAGAAGCAGAGAACAGGGCAGCAGTCTCTGCCATTCTAGTCCTCATCTCAATTAGAGAAAAAGTGCACTAGAATTCTCTATCTCTTTAGCCATACATTTTGGTTTGAACCTATTAACTCTTAAGACTTCAATTATCATTATTAAAATTTAAGATTTGTATGAGATTATTTTAAAATATTCATATGGAACATTGTATAAACTGAAGAAAAGCACCTGACTTTGCTTTGGTCACAGTGTTTTTTACTTCCTTCTTTTCTTTAAATCACTGATACACTTGAGTAACTTAGGGTCCATCTAACTTTACATTGCTTGTAACTCAATAATGACCAGAAAATCTTAGCTGCCTCCATGTTACTTTTGCTCAGTATGCCTGGATTTCAATAGTTTATGTACTTGTAAAGCATCATTCATTTTTTTCTTTGCTCCCTTTAATAATGGCAATATAAATTGTAATGATATGTTACGTAAAAACATTTAAGCTGCCTGTGATAGTGCACACCTGTAATCCCAGCACTTGGAAGCCTGAGCAGAAGGATCATGAGCTCAAAGCCAGCTTGGGCCACAGAGGGAGATCCCGTATCAAAGATTATTTTCCCCCTATTTTGAAAGAAAAAACTTGTAGTTCAAGCTTGTTTTTCCTAAACTGACCCATATGCAGAAAACAGTGACTCACAGCTAATCTAATGTATTGGGAATTGACCAGTAATGTGATCAAATATAGGCATTCCTGAAATTTTAGTAGTAGTCATATAACATGACGACACTTCTATTCCCAGTGCACTTCAGGTATCTATACTGGTGAGATGACTTTGATGTGTAATAATTAAAATTTTCTTGATTTTTATTTTATGTGTATGAGTGTTTTGTCTGCATGTATGTAAGTGTACCACATGTGTGTAATATCCACAGAGTCCAGAAGAGGGTGTAGGATCCCATGGAACTAAAGTTACAGTGGTTAGCCACCATGTGAGTGCTGGGAACTGAACTTCAGTTCTCTGCAAGAACAACCAGTGCTTTAAACTGCTAAGCCAGCTCTCCAGCCGAAAGTGTAACTATTTAATGAAGTATTTTTCCTCCTAGCTTCTTATCAGAGGAATAAAATGTATGTGAACCAGGCTATGCACACCTCCCTCTAACTTTTAAAATCACTGCAGTTAATAAATATTAGAGGTTTTTTTCAGAAGCTCTTTCATATATAATATACATACTCCTGATTGTGGAATTACAGGTATTTGCCACTATACCTGACCTGGTTTAGTTGTTTTTGTTTTAGATTCAAATTAGGAATACATATAAGCAGTTAGTAGGTAAGATGAGAAATTAAAGTTTTAGAGTTTTAGGAATATCTTTTGAGTTTTCCATTTTCTGTTCTCCCTCTGTTTTAAACCTCTCATTTTTCAATTTAAGGCACTAAAGTTGCTAAGTGTAAAATACCTTGAAAATCTACCACAATCAAGGAAAAAGAAAGTCATATATCACTGGTGCAAAGAATGAAAAGCCTAAAAGATTAAAAAAAACATAGCCTTTATTATATGTGAAATTTTTCCTTATTCCTCTTTGTGAGGCAAGGGAGGTGAGTTTGAGGAAGAAAAATAAAATTATTTAATAACTATTTTTTCAGGATTATTTTATTTTCCTAAATGTTTGAAATATAATCTCTTACCAAACCTGGGGATTTTTGGGATTGTATAGAAATATAAAACTATATTTAATACAATATCGTGCAAGTAATAATGCTTATTTTTGTGAAACTGAAATTTGTTTTGTGATGAGTGGTGGGTGAAGAAAAAACAGATAAATGTTATTATATGCTCAGCGATTAAAGGCTATTATAACCAGGGTCATTCATTCAGTTATTATCATTACTTAATCTGTAAGTGCTCCAAATTTAAAATATTAGTATAATTTGAGCTGGAGTTCTGGCTCAGTGGCAGAACACTTGCCTAGCATATACAAGGTCCTGGGTTGAATCCCCAACATAGTAAAAAAAAACATTAGTATTCTACTATCATTTAAACTTTAAGGCCTTTATAGTCTTTTACTAAATTTATCAAATAGGGTGCCTAATCTTTTGAAAATAATTCATATATCTGCATTTCTATGTAAAAATATCTGTTTTCATCTAATTTAACTTCTGTTTCCAGGTTTTGGAAATCGTTTTTCAAAACCCAAAGGACCAAGGAACCCACCACCAACATGGAATATTTAATACAACTCTGGATTTATAAAAATATAGACTGTAGATATGCTTGCAAATAAAACCGCTAGAATATTGCTTCTATAATAAATGTTGCATTGTCATAGTATCAACAATAAAGATAATTGGTGTTAATACTTTTAAAGGAAAGCAATATGTGGGGAAAATGCCAGCAACTTTGTATTTTCATATTGTTTACATTTGGTTGGAAATGGCAAATAAAATTTATCACTTGAGTTTATATTTTAAAATGGATTTTTCAGGACTGGAGAAATGGCTCAGCAGGTAAGAGCACTGATTGTTTTTGCAGATGACCTGGGTTCAATTCCCAGCACATCATGGCTAACAACCATCAGTAACTCCAGTTCCTGGGGAATCTGATGCCCTCTTCTCACCTCCACAAGCATTGCATGACATAGGTGCAGTTACATACATGCAGGCAATACACTCATACACATAAAGTAAAAATATTTAAAAAATGAATTTTTCATTTTTGGAAGTTACTCTACTTTCTACATAAATATAAATTTGTTTTTGTTTTGAGATGATGTCTTCCTGTGTTAGTCTTGGACCCCTGAAGTGATCATCTTGCTTGTGAAGAGCTGGGACTGTAAGTGTACACAACCAAGCCATGTAAATTTCCATAGGTTTCTGAGAATATGATCCCAACTAAATTTCTACATTATCTTAACTAGAAACAAAATTTTTGAGACAGAGTTTTGCTTTGTAGCCCAGGCTGGCCTCAAACTAATGATCCACCTGCTTTTAAATGGAGTATACCTCTAAATGCTGGAGTATACCTCTAAATGCAGTATATCTCATACATCTTTCCAAATGTAGAAGAGATAACATGTGAAAATAATGACAGCAACTATATTCCATATGTTTTTTATATGTAGGTTTTTAGAAAACAAAGATTTTTATTTATGTGTATATGTGTGTGCCTCCATTAAGTTTTAACAAGTTATTCATCAAGTTATTCATTTACCAATTCTAGGAAAATAATCAGCAAAAGTTATTTTTTGGTAGCATTTTTACATTATTTTAAATTCCTTTTTTTTTTTGGTCTTTTTGAGACAGGGTCTCCCTATAGACCAGTGGAACGCTCATGTAGACCAGGCTGGCCTCACCTCGAACTCACAAATTAAATTCTTTTCTTGATAGCGTTTTATTCATGTAAAAGGCCCTAAGGCCCTACATAAACGTGTAATTTATGTCCATAACTGTTAAGGTTCAGATAGCCCTGCCCCCTTATCAACAGGATCTCAAGGACTTCTCATCTCTTGAGAAAAGGGAAGCCGCTCCCCCCCACAACTTTAAAAGAAAAAAAATCTTCTTGCCTTCTGCAGGAAGCAGAAACCTCCCTTTTTAAAAGACCCCAGCTCATGACCCAGGCAGACATTTTCCCTGCCTGGAAGGGAATCTGTCCCATGTGTTCCTTTGCTAATAAACTCTGCTTTCTCCTGATCAACCCTATTCGTCATACGGCTACTTTTTATCTATCAATAATCATTTAGAGATACTAGTCCTTATTTTTTCTTTGACAGGGTCTCCTCTGTATGTAGGCCAGACTGACCTTCTGGCCTTGAACTCAGAGATGCATCCGCCTGCCTCCCGAGTGTTGGGATTAGAGGCTTGTACCACCACGCCATTTAACATCTTTTTATTTAAAACGTTACAACCTAGCATCAGTATTAACATCGTTTGCTCTTTAGCACTTTTCATTAGAAAACCTAATGCTAGGGTAAACTGAGTGATATTTGCTTATCGTAATACAATGTATACTCCATTTGTGCACACACACGTTTTTGAGACAGGGTCTCCCTGTAGCCCCAGCTGGCCTAGAACTTGCTATGTAGACCAGACTGGCCTCAAGCTCAGAGATCTGCCTGCCTCTGCCTCCTTCGTGCTGGGATTAAAGGCCTGTGTCAACCAGGCCAGGCTTTCGACAACCTACAACTTTATTGCAGTTGAATTCACTTAGTTTGAGCAATCTTACTCTCTTCTTGGAACTAGTGGTATCAAACCATAGTGATTTTATATTCTTAGTACATCACTGTAAACAATTACTTCCAAATTATCTTTCTCAAGGACAAAATACATTAGAATTCTAGGTAAAAGCTAAAGTAACGAAACTCTGAATGAATTTCTGAACAATAGCCATCTCCCTGGCGAACAGTGACGATTTTATTTTTTTTGGTTTTGAGACAGGGTGGGTCCCCAGTAGACTCAGCTGGTCTGGAACTCGCTATGTAGACCTGGCTGGCCTTGAACGCAGAGATCCGCCTGTCTCTGGTGGGATTAAAAGCGTGAGCCACCAACGCCCGGTTTAGAGCGATGATTTTTGAAGCGGTATCTGGTTGAGAACGCTTTTAATATTTGCAAATTATACCTTATGGCTTGAAAAAAAATGATCATTTTGAATATGGCTTTCTAGCTGTAGCTATATGTTAAAAATAAATGCTGGCTTCTACTTTTCCACGTTACAGGGAAATATGGCTCGGTGCGAGGTAGGGCCGCACTCAGGAGGCTCCTGGGCAGTTCTTGCACCTGCTTTGCACCAGTAACTGTAACCATAGCAATGCCCCTGAAAATGCTTCACAAAAAAATTTTCCCCCAAATAGCAGTCCTACTATATTTTACAGCAAAACCATTATTTCCATATTGCTGATTCTTTTCTAGTCGTTTGTCAAGGGCTGGAGATTCTTTTACCTCACAAAGGTTATGAGAAATATGAAATTTAAAAGTCACTATGGAGACCACCTACTCCGTGTTACGGTGACGAAGGAACGCAGAAAGAGGACAGCCTGGACACACTACCAGACTCCGAAAGCTATTAACATTGTTTGGGCCGTTAAGGCAGTTGGCGGCAAATCGCCGACCCGCGGCGGTTGCGTCGCAGCCTGAAGCGTGCCACGGAGCACGCTCCTTCTCCGCTCCTCCAGTCAGAAAGCCCGGCAACGCGGCGGGGCGCGGCAGGACTACAACTCCCAGGAGGCTTTGCGCGGTCAGGGCGCTTTACAATAGAAGCTCGGTCGAAGAGGCCGGCGGAGAGTTGCCGGAACTGCTGCTTCCGGCATGTTCAGCTCAGAGAGAAGAACGGCGGACAAGTGGAGGGTGAGGGAGAGACTTCAGTGCCCAGCGGGCCCTGCGCAGGCAGCGCTTGCGCGATGCGCGGACGGGGGGGCGGTCGGGCCATTTAAATGTGTGTTTGTGGGTGAAATGGCTGCGCAGGTCGGAGCGGTGCGCGTAGTACGGGCGGTGGCGGCGCAGGAGGAGCCGGACAAAGACGGGAAGGAGAAGCCCCATGTTGGGGTCTCGCCGCGGGGAGTGAAGCGGCAGCGCCGCGGGAGCAGCGGGGGGTCTCAGGAGAAGCGGGGGCGGCCGAGCCAGGACCCCCCTCTCGCTCCCCCTCATCGGCGGCGTCGCAGCCGCCAACATCCCGGGCCGCTGCCGCCCAGCAGTGCCTCCCCGAGCGTCCCGGGCCCTGTGGAGCCTCTGCTCCTGCCGCCTCCGCCGCCACCGTCGCTGGCGCCCGCCGGGCCCGCTGTCGCCGCCGCACTCCCGGCCCCCGGCACCTCGGCCCTCTTCACCTTCTCGCCGCTGACGGTGAGCGCGGCCGGGCCCAAGCATAAGGGCCACAAGGAGCGGCATAAGCACCATCACCACCGCGGCTCCGATGGAGACCTGGCCGCCGGCGTCCCGGGCGAGCTCAAGCACAAGGACAAGCAGGAAAACGGAGAGAGGAGCGGAGGGGCGCCTCTGCTGAAGGCCCCCAAAAGAGGTGAGAGCAGGCAGACCGCCCGGGCTCGGGCTGGGTCCCGGTGCCCTCAGGCCGCCCCTCTCCCCAGAGCCCACTGGGGTGGACTCCGGCTTTCAGATGGTTGCACAGTTTGACCTACTTGAGGCTCCTCTTTCAGCCGGAGCTGTCAGTTTCCAACCCCTTTCCCAGTCCCCGGAGCCTCGTAACGTTTATTTTCAAATTCGGCAGGGTTTCCGCGCCGCGCGGTGCTTGGCATCGGATTAGTAGGTGGGGTACTAAAACCTCCCGAAGAAAGACGTGACATTGAAGGGCCCTTTCCTGGAAATGTGGTTTTTCCTAGCCTCAGCACCAAAATAGTCACAGGTTTGATTCTGGGCTCTGAGTTTGAATTTTCCCAGAGGTTACACAACTGATTGCTTGTCTAAGCTTTCAGCAAGGTTAAAAAAAAAAATCAAAGTTTGTGGTATTTCTTTTATCTAGACGAGACAAAATTTGTTTTAAATTTTTATATTGGCCCTTTTAATTCTTAGTATAGTATGCTAATGGGCCGAGGAAGGTTTTTTTGAATCTTAGAAAGTAGGCCAACAGTCTGAAGAGAGGGACGTGTGCAAGGAGGATGTGGATGCAGATTCCAGTTGCCTTTTATTCTGTCGAGCACAGTTGGAGAATCTTTGTAATTCCAGGAGCCCTTAAAAATATTTAACCCAGAAAACATAGAGCTAAGTGTGGTTTCTAGAGAAATTAGGTTGGCCCAAATCGATGTCTTCTCTTGCCAAATACCTGTAGCACTTATTTATATTCTTTGTGGAAGAAATGAGGTATGCTTTTGGTTTATGTCATGTTTATATTTTGTATATGACATTTTTAATTCGTTGGATCTCCTCAATAACATTTTATGTGTCTTAACAACTGGGCCATTTCAGTTATTACATGTCTTTCAGTCTAAAGTTTTGGGAGTCTTGCAATCTTCCCATGCATTTGGTCTTAGTGCTAACCATCTTTTGTGGTTAGCTGCAAATACTAAGTTTACACTGGACAGAATTGTGTCTTTTTTCCTTTGGGCATTGAGAGGACATCCTCAGGAGTAGAATGCTGGTAAGCTCACAGGGATGCCAGTCTTCAATATGCAATGACCTCGCATATTGGAATATTTTATTTTTTACCTTTATTTTCCATCCTCTCTGGTGTGTGTCCATACAGTGCTACAGGGAATCTTAGTAGGCATTTGTTTTAAATTTGTGTTGTAGAAGACACCAGGTAGGGTCCAAGTAGTGAAGAGACTCACTGAAATTAAGTCACAGTACTGAAGAGGAAATTGAAAAAAAATAGTTTTAAATAAATTGTTGGAGTAGATCCCAGATTCTTGAATCCCAGTACAAGCTTTATCTCCAGTGTGCCTGATTTTACTTTCCCTTGCCACTTTTCCCCCTCCTTTGCCTGTCTTTTCCCTGTGCCTTGACATTATAGTGGGAGTAAACTGACATCAAGGATCTCTGACTTAGTCCCCTTCTGTGGTGGATGGTGACACTGACGTGTGTAATAATTTACAGTATACTTCCCTGAACGTTGTAGTCTCCCTTTTTAAAATCACAATCAAATCCCTAATATGGATGCATAGAATTTTCTCAGATGGTACAAATGTTCTTTATCTGTATTGTCCAATATGGTAACCATATGTGGCACTTAATCAGACTTGTAATGTGGCTAGTGTGACTGAGAAACTGAAATTTTAAATTTATAACAGGTTGTATGTGGCTAGTGGTTACTGCATTGGACGACACAGCTCTGAATATTTGTAGTTTGTCAGTTCAGGGAAGAATGGCTTAGAGATTATTGGATTACATACCCAGACTGTATTCTGGGGGAAATAGGTCTCCCTGATTAGAAACATTTGGGAAAAACTGTACTGTAGTAGTCTAAGTATCTGACATGCTCTGGCATTTTAAGAGTTTGAAAAACAGGTGCGGTAGCACATGCCTTTAGTCCCAGCACTTGGGAGGCAGAGGCAGATGGATGATCTCTGTGCGTTCAAGGCCAGCCTGGTCTACAAAGTGAGTTCCAGGCCAGCTGGGGCTTTAATGTCATTTAGGCCAAGCTTTTGCATAGTTGGACCAATAGTTCTTAAAAATCCCTGATATGTTTAGTTTTGTTACCCTTGTTCAGGAAGCATGGCTCTGGAAATAAATTATGGTGCCACTACCTACCAGGAGCAAATTGATCTCTCTTTAACTCCATTTTCCTGTTTGTAAAATGGGTGTGTGGTATTCATTTATGTGGTTTTATAGGGATTAAGTGGGGGCAATGTATGGAAGGCTTGGCTCATGGCAGGCAGTTAAAAATGGCATTTATTTTTACTATAATTGGTCCTTGAAACAACTCTTAAGATTAATAAGGAGATTAGATTGTTGTTATTTACAGAAGTGTGTCTTCCCTTGGCTTATCCTCACCTTTTTGGGAACTTTCAATACTTTGAAATAATGATAGATTTGTGAAAAATTGCAAAATATATCAGAGAGGTTCTTATCCTTGTCCACTTTACTACAGTGGTTAAATCTTACATAACTACTGTATAATACCACCACCAGGAAATTGATGTGTGTGTGTGTGTGTGTGTGTGTGTGTTTCCTGTGCCATTTTAACACATGTAAATTAATGGAGCCACCACTGTAATCAGGATACAAAATTATTCCAACTCCAGAAAGATCTCCCTTGTGCTATCCCTTTATAGCATTAGGCACTCTTTCCCCACATTTCCTACCATCTCTAAACCCTAACAACCACTAATCTGCTTCCATTATTATAATTTTGTTATTTGAGAATATTATATAGATGGACTCTTTTGAAGTTGACTTCTTTTACTCAGCATGTGGGTGAGATATGAGATAAATTTGTCAACAGTTCTCACCTTTTCATTGCTGAACAGTACTCTTAGCAGGGGTGTGCCATGATCTCCTCTTGAAAGACATTTTGATTTCTAGTTTAGGGCTATTTTGAATAAAGCTTCCTGTTTAGGTTTTTGTTTGGAATCAAATTATCATTTCTTTGGGGGAATGTGCTTGTTAGGTCATATGGTAAGTATGTGTTTAGGGTTTAAATATTTGTTTTCTTTTTTTAAAATATTTTATTTATTATTTTTATTATTTTATGTGTAGGAGTGTATTGCCTGCATGTATGTGAGCGCACCTGCAATGCCCTGGAGGTCAGAAGAGGGCTTCAGATTCCCCTGGAACTGGTGTTAAGGGCAGTTTGTAGCCGCCATGTGGGTGCTGGGAATCGAACCCAGGTCCTCTGCAAGAGCAGTCAGTGCTCTTAACCACTGAACCATCTCTCCAGCCCCAATATTTGTTTTCTTTTACTGTGTCACCATACTACTTTAGAGTGTGCTGTTTTACATTTTCATTAGTGATTTATAATTAGATTTTTTAAAAAACATTTTGTAGGTCCTCATCAGTAAAATTTATTTCTTAGCATCTTTTGCCCATTTTCAAGTCAGATTGCTTATTTTAAAAATTATTTTAAGAATTCTTTGTTGAAAATTATTTGTGTAGTATAGGTGCAAGTCCTTTATTGACTGAATGATTTGTAGATACTTTCTTCTGGTCTATTGGTGGCCTTTCCATCATCTTAAGATTTTTCATGTAGCAAAATTATGTTTTGTTAAGTTTCATTTCTTGACATTTTTCTTTAATGAGTCATTTTTACTGTTATTTTTTTCCCTTAAAGTTTTTACTTTTTAAAAATTAATTTATTTTATGTGCTTGATTGTTTTGCCTGCATGTATGTATGTAAGTGTACCTATGTTGTACAGTGTCCTTGGAAGCAATAAGATAGCATCGGATCCCCTGGAACTGGAGTTATGAATGGTTGTTAGCTGCCATGTTGGGTGCTGGGAACCAAGCCCAGGCCCTCTGCAAGAGCAGCCAGTGTTCTTAACTGCTGAGCCATCTCTCCAGCCCATCTTAAAGTTTTTTTTTAATTTTAATTTTTTTTCTTTTTTATATTATTTATTTAATAAACATAATTAGAAGAAACATTTCATTACAACAGCATTGACACATTCAATAACAATTTCCAGAGATAAGATACATCTCTTTCAAAATTGGCTGTAAATTTTTAGGTTTACAGTTGAATTAATAGAGTTATACAATATTGAACTCAGTATAAACCCTATAAGACATAAAATTGAATGATATTTTACCCTTTAAAAAATATCTCCATTTCATTTTAAAATATGCTGTTTCATACAGAAAAACTCATTTTTAATGCAACTAACACTCAGATGTTTGCACATGAGTCTCTAATCTCTATATATCTTATTATTACTAGTCACAGTCAATTACTTTTTTTAAAAAAATTATTTAATAGCCACATGATTAGAAGCATTTCATTACAGCATTAACATATTCAATAACAATTTCCAGAG